CCAGTCAGACCCACGCGGAATAGCGGGGCTGGCTTGAGGTGGGAAGAAGAGAAAGGGAGGAAGGGAGAAAAAGAATTTGACAGGAAAGGAAATGGAGACCAGAACAAATGCTTGGGGCAAACTAGGGGCAAATCAGACAGGAACAATCTGTCTATTCCCATGAAAAAGTCACTATGGTGACAAAATCATTCTAAAGAACTTCATCTTAACAGGGCTTACTTTTAGAAAATACAAAACCCAAGGATAATGAAATAACAACCTGCACAGAGCCCCGTATTTAAAAGTTATAACTACCAAAATACCAAAAGCAATTATTCATTGTTTGTCTTCTCACTGAACTGCAGGCTTACTGAGGAAGGCCTGCCATAGTAGATATTCAATAAGTAGCAACTGTTCATAATTAATCATGACAAATGAGATTGAGATGCAATGGAAACCAAAGTGACTGCACATCTTTATAAGAGAAATTCCTTTCAAGGAAATAAAACTTGAAGATTTGCTTCAAGAAGGAGGAAATCAGGTACAGTTAACCACACCTGCAATCCCAGCATCAGGAGGCTGGGGTAGAAGATCATGACTTTGAGGCCAGCCTAGACTACACAGTGAAACCATGCTGGGAGGAAGGAAGGAAGGAGGGAGGAGGGAGGGAGGGAGGGAGGGAAGTGATGGAGGGAGAGAAGGAAGGAAAGAGGGAGGAAGGAAGGAAAGAAGAAAGGAAGGAAGGAAGGAGGAAGGGAAGCAGAGGGAGGGAGGGAGGAAAGAAGGAGGGAAGGAAGGAAGGAAGGAAGGAAGTTAGGAGGGAAGAAGGGAAGTGAGGGAGGGAGGGAAGTGAGGGAGGGAGGGAGGCAGATAGGAAGGAAGGAGGGAAGGAGAGAAGGAAGGAAGGAAGTGAGGGAGGGAGGAAGGAAAGAGGGAGGGAAGAAGGAAGGAAGGAAGGAGGAAAATTAGGAAAGAAGAAAGGAAGGAGGGAAGGAAGGGAGGGAGAGAAGAGGATGGGGTGGGGGAAGGGAGGGAGGGAAATCAAGTATAAGAGAGAAAAAACACAATATAACAATATACACATTAAATAAGTAGTCAAAAATATCTCCAACAAATTTACCTCACTTTATGGATAAATGTGCATATATACATGAACACTTGATATACACACTCAAACTGTGAAATAAGCACTCATGTGAGTACACGCATGCACACATGAGCATGCGTGATTCTGAGCTGGCCCAGTTCTGTTCAGAGGCTAGGAGCAGCTGCAGCGCAGGCTCTGAGGCCTGGCTCTGTGCTCTGTCCCCCCTCCGGGGAGCCGCAGGGCGCAGGATCCTCACAGTGTCGCTCCCACCCTCCACGGCCGTGAGACTGTCCAGGCTTCTGCCCCCGTCAGGGTGCTCAAGGAATGTCCGGGGAGCTCCTCCAAATCAGATGTGCAGGCTGTACCTACCTGAGCCCCTTTCCTGGACCGCAGGCCTACATGGCAGGCTGCCAGGGTCCCTTCCAGATGTGGGAAGCATCAGCACTGCAGGAAAGGCTTGCTGGATCCTGACGCCCATTTCAAGGTGAATAGATTATAAAATCGGTATGCAGTATGTCATGGTTTTAATTACCTTTAAGTAGTTGTACAAGCCATTCACCAAATCATTCCATGACTACCATGCATCTTAATCTGTCACCCCTTTCCACATTCTCCCCATCCCTCCCCTCCCCTTCTCTCCCCTCACACTTCCTCATTTGGTAGATCTACGTTGAATTCTTGACTCCATTCTCTCCTATTCTTGTCTTCATTCACCTAGCCCTTTCCTCTTGACCCCACCCCATCTCTTTCAAGTACCCACTCCTTGGTGTTCATTTCGTTGAAATTTGACTGTGCCTTTCTAAGGGACTGCACTGAGTTCTCCCTCAAATCCACCACGCTTCACTGAAGACATCTGTATACATTTGCATTCCATCTAATACATTTACTTGTAAGTCTATAAGCTAACTCTAGCTTCCATGTATAAGGGAAAACATGCATCCTTTTTCTCTCTGGGCCTGACTTACTTCATAGACATTTTTCCAGGTCTTTCCACTTCTTTACAAATGGTAGAGTATCACTCTTTGAATGGATGAGCAAAATTCCATTGTGTATACATACCACATTTTCTTGATCCATTCATCCATTGGGGGCATCTGGGCTGATTGCATATCTAGGCTACGGTAAATAGGGATGCGATGAACATGGTTGTAGAGCTGCCTTTACTGATCCTGGTCTGTGCACTTTTAGGTAAGTGCCCAGGAGTGGAATTGATGGATTATTGGGTAGTTCTCAGTTGTAATGTGTTATTCAGATATGCATTAAATAACTGCTTGCGTTATATAATAACTGGGATGGTGGTGATGATGACGGTGGAATCTCCATTCCCACATTTAGATAGAAAGGGGGAGGCTGTCACACATACCTTATTTTGAATCCAGGCCCCAGGTGTTGCCTGGGCCACAGATCCAATTCTCCTTTCTTCTTTTATCTATCTGAGAAGAGCAAAGTCTCTAAGAGGAGGACTGCAGACTCTGGGGCATGTTCAGTGACACAGTTGTCATCATTTTCCTGGACTCTCATGCACCTCTGGGGTACAAGAGGGTAGCATCGGGGTGGCCACTGGACCCAGTGTGTGTAATCCTGCAGTCCGGATGAGCACTCCAGGGACCACGCTCACGTGGGACTCACATGGGGATCTGACCAGGCCTGGACGGGCCAGTGCTTGTCAGCTGGTCAAGTGTGTTGCTCCCAGCATCTTCCAACTTCCAGTTAGTCCTGGTCACCCTTCAGGGTGGGTGCATGAGATCCCCAGGACCCAGGGTCCCACCCTTATTCCATGCTCAGATTGAGAATTCAAGATTCTTATGTGAAAATGTACTTTGCTTGTTTCTTCCTATCTTATATTTTTGTTTCCATTTTAGGGAATGTCTCTGGGCTTTAAGCCTCTAAACCACCCTTTGGGGAAGGAAGTAAAAGGCTAGAGTAGAATAAGGGTCAGGAGCCTGCTCCAGTGTCCCTTCCTGCCACAGGGCTAGGGAGGCCCCATGGGGACTGGTGATGTCAGCCGGCTTGCCCGATCTCTCTGGGGCTTCGCTTCTCTGGGACCCACAAGGAGGGGTGGAATCGCCAGCCTGAGAAGTAACTTAGCAATATTGGTTTGGGTCAATGGAATTGTGACATGTCTTCTAGTCCATATAGAGTGACACATGAGGACTTTAATCTTTCAGAAGAGGACAGGAACTACAGGCTAGTGATGGTTTCTCCCTGATCTACCCATGGCCAATGAAAGTCCAGCTGCCATGCCAGCCCGCCTGTCTGCCTGCAGCTGTGAGTGGAATGGCACAAAAGGCAGAGCTCAGGGAGCTGGTCCTCCAAGGTCCTCTGCTAGGCCAGCTGCGCACAGGGCGGGTTTTGTTCAAAATAGTGTGCCTGTTTGCACTGCTTTGGTTTAGAGTTCACACAGTCTAGAAAAAGACTCTGACCCTACTTCCTCTTTCTGATCTGAAGTGCTGTTCCCTGGAGAGAAACACTGTTCCCTTGAGAGAGCTGGCTCTGGCTTCTTTGATTTTGCAAGCTCCGTTGATCAAGGAGAACACATCTCATGCTCTATCTAAGATCCTTTGTTTTTATTTGTCTATGACAAGTTCTTAAATGAGAGCCTGCGGTCAGCAAGAAGACAAGTGCTGAGCGTGACTGGAGTGAGCAGTATCTGTATCTGGAGTGAGCAGTGCTCCGGCACATTTCTTCTCTAAGGAGCCAGCGTGTAAACTGTTTTGGTTGTGCAGACCATACAATACAGGTTACAACAGCTCAACCCAGCCTTTATGGAAGAAGTCACAGGCAACATGTCAACCAATGGGCTGTGTTTCAATAAAACTTTATTTAAAAACTCAGGCAGCAAGACAGATTGGATCTAGGCTGCAGTGTTTGTACATAACTCTAAGGAAAACAGAACCTAGTGGAACTCTGGGAACTATCCTAACTGGGTAAAGATAGGAAAAATGAAATGCAGTTTGGACAAAAGGAAGTTGTGACCCCTGCGTGTGGGTTGGGCCTCCAGAACCACCGTCTAAGGATCGGGGCGGCTACAGGACATGACCACCTGTGCTCGCCCAGCTCAAAAAGCCTGCATGCTAGCCACAGGACCCGGGGCCAACGCTCTAGCTTCTACTTCCGGTGTGGGAAGCAGAAAATGTTTCTCCCTTTTTCCCGTGTCTTCCTACTTTAACCCAGTTGTACTTAAAAAATATTGCTTAAACTTTAAAATAATAATTTTCCTAAATGTTTAGTGCACTAAGATCTCCAAAGGCAAACTTCAGTTTGAGTCCACTTGAATCCTTACGTTTACCCTCAGAACTATTTCAGTGGAGCATTTTTCTAATGGAGAAAACTTCCAAATTTGGATTTTTATCTTCTTTTTCCAGATTAGATCTGATCCGGGGCCAGCCATCTCTTCAAGAGAAGAGCTAGGTGTGTTCTGCTTTCTTCTAGTCAGTCTCCACCGTCTCCTGTTGCTCTGTCCTGACATCCAGACGGTGCCAGGAGCTTTCGCTCACTAGCTGGCCCTGCTGCGCTCTCCCAGGAAGGGTCGTTGTGCGGAGATGACTGATGCCTGAGTTCTGGGCACAAAGGAAATGCAAACTTCCCATCACCATGGAAAGACACACAATAAGGACTTGGAAAAGAAAGGGGAAGAAAAGCCTGAGAGCGAATCCTTCCTTCCATGTCAGCCCTTCCTCTTCCCCGGTGTCAGCCTGGATTAATCAAAGCAAGCCCGGAGGAGCCCGGGACCCCTCCACACAGGACATCTCCACACAGGACATCTCCATCTCTCCCGATTCCCTTTCCTGTTAAATCGATGCCCTCCGAGGTCCTTCAAAACCACACTTAGGAAACACGCGATGTCTTGAGATTGGGAGAAGGTGTGCGGTCTCTGCCACGGGGCATCCTGGACAGCTCCAGGCCTGCCCAGAGCAGCCACGCGCACTCCCACATGGGTGCAACACTTACACGCGAGCACTCGCAAAGCGTCCGGGCACCGGTGTCCACGTGCCCCGCTCACACTGAAAATCCCGGGCGGCAGGCAGCCCAAGCAGCTGGCGTCGGGCTGCGCAGCGCGCACGGCCCTGGGCAGCTCTACCCGCATCGACTGCGCGCCTCGCGCCCAGCGCCCTGCACCATGCCTCGCGCCCCGCGATCTGGCCGGGGCTGGCGGCGGAGGACGCGCCTGCTTCCCGGTCCCCAGAGCCTCAACCCCCAGGGGGACGCTCGCTCTCGCGGAGTCCCCAGTGACCCGCGCCGGGCTCGCGCAGCAAGCGCAGCTTCCCTTGCTGCGGGCGCGGGGCCCGGGTTCACGCCGGGCGCAGGGGCGCTCAGCCAGAGGCGCAGACCGTGCTCGGGATCCCGCACCGCAATAGCTGGCCGGACAGTACCAGGCAGCCGGCCGCCGGCCGCGCCCCGCGCCCCTGCGCCCCTGCGCGGTCTCGTCCACAGGGCACCGAGGGGTGAGTGCGGACCCCACTGTCCGGTAGGGCCTGTCTGGTCTCCAGACTCCTCCCCCCTACCTGCTCCCCTCCTCCCTGCCC